CAGGATAAAACATAAGGAATAGAAAGAGCTGTGATCATCCCTTGTTGCTTTGCTACCCTCTGACCACCATGAACTGTTTCTCCTCTGTGATGTAAGAGAAAGTGGAGAAATAAGAGAAAATGGAAGAAGCAAAGGGGCCATAGCTCTGATGGAGTTCAGACTGGTTTGTTAATAAAGGAGCAAGGCCAGTGTTCTTATGTAGTTGCTGAGACGAGGAAAGGCCTGGTTGATCAAAGTCTCAGTTCTGGTTTTGCAAGATGGCTCTGGAGAGGTCTTTAGCATTTGAGAGGGTACCAGGGTGACTGAAGGTTTAGGACAATGACTGGAGACTTCTGGGTGCCCATTGGGAGCTGAATGTTCCAGCAAATCTCTTATTTTACATAGTTTGTGTCTGGATGTCCCCCCAACAAAGCCTCATGTAGTCATGGGGGAGGGGAGATTTTGGAGACCACTGAATCTAGAGTTTGTGATTGGTTCATTGTCTAGCGCTGGGACTGGGGCTGTAAGTGCTACACTCGCTCTTGGAAAGATAGCCTGAATATAAAATAAAGGAAGGAAAAGAGGCTTGCTCCTCCCATTTTTGCTGTTGTTGTTTCTGCTATTTTCTGCTGTCATGATTTGTTGCCCTCTGCCTTGCCTCTCTGCTTTGGAGCCAGCTGATTATGGACTGAAACCTCTACAAACTGTGAGCTAAATAAACCTTTGCTTCCTTAACTTTAGGTACTGGATATTTTGTCTCAGCAATGAGAAAAAAGCAACAAGAAAAAAGAGTTATCAGTCTTGAAGAGAGATAAGCTATATAAATTTAAGGGCTAATCAACCTTAGATTACCAGTTTTTACAGAGACATTCCTTAAACTATTACACCTATATGCAGAGCTGAGGAGGGAGCTGACCCAAAGTTTAAGGTAATAAAGGAGATAGGTGCAGAATAAAGGTGAAAAATTATTGTGCTTTTAGTTAACTGTTGGGCATCTGTAAGCCCCAATGAAAGTTACTTTTTTGGTATATAAATGCAGTTTTCAAGTCCAAAACTGACTCAGAAAAAAATACAAACCATGCTTTAATAAGAAAAAAGTTAAGGTCCCAGGAATGCACATGTCCTTTATCCCAAGGATGTTCTATGATTTCCTAAATTATTATACAAGGTTATCATATTGATCATTTTGCATGACACACAGTAAATGTACAAAAATTTTCTTATTGAAAGCACTTTCTGTTCTCAAATAAATTTCTCTTTTTTTCTACCTTCTCGTCAATAGTATGTGATGTACACAGATCTCCCACACCTCATCCAAGTCAGTGATTCTCAAATTGTTGGTTAGGACAGAACCCTAGATGCTGCCTGCCACACAATATAGGAATCTCTGTGTTGTATGACAATAATTGATTAACTATCATCCTTCTCCAAAAGTTACTCCATCTACCTTTCCTTATGCCCACATTTCATACCTTGCTCTTGAAAATATCACAATTGTACTCATGTTTGAAAGGAGTTTTGAGAGTAAAAACATTGCCTTTTACTTACATTTGGCACATGGTAGAGACTTAATACATATTTGCTACATTTTGCTCATGTCCAGAGACTTTTCCCAAGACTGAAATTAACGGTGGTTAATTAATTAATCTGACAGAAGAGATTTCAAGAAGAAATGGGTACTGTTGGAACTTTTAGCTAGACTTGTGCTGTGACTCAAAAGCAAATAGACCAGCAAAATAACTTAAAATACTATGAATTCGGCCAGAAAATAAGCTCCAGTAAAGCTGTGAATTGCAAAGATAGAACAGAGATCTTAATTGCTGAGAATAAAAAAGATAGCCTGAGGACAACACAAGAAGACGCAGGACTCCAATCTTTGCAGCCTCAAAATTGCAAAAGTGAAAGATTTTGCTTTTAGAAGAAAGCCACAGAACACCATATTTCAGAATTGTGCTAGCCTAGGAAATATTTCCTCAGGATTTGGTTCATAGGCACTCAACCACTTCAACCAAAAGAGACGGAAGCCTGGCTATTACTCCAGCTGGCAGCAGACCTTGACATCATCTAGGCGGAGCTGGTTTTAGGTACAGGCAGAATGTAAGAGTTGTAGGATCAGGAATGCTTCCATTCAGATTGAAGAAGGTCTGAGAGGCTAGGTTCTGAGACCCACACAGCCTTTGAGGCTCCTAGGGTGAAGAACAGTGAAAGGATGAGAAAATAAAGAAGAGACAAAGCTGGGGTCAGGAGGAGCCCTTACTCTGCAGACAGGAAAAAAGAAACCTCCCTCTCACTGCAGGGGCATTTGTTTATACCTCTTAGCAACTTAATGCCATATGACACCCTAGTGTCCTAGCAACCTATGATTCAGATTGTCTTGGGGTTAGGTGTTCTCAGGGCAGAAGCAGCTTCTTCATGTGGCTTGCCCCAGATGCTCTTTATTTTGGGGATGGCCATGCCCCCAGGCTTGCATGTGTCGTCAGTTTCTAGCTTCAGTGGCTCCCAACAACCAGGCAGTGTGCCCCTGAGAGGACAGTGTATAAAACTGTGGATGTGAAGCCAAATGTACAGTGGAAACCCCAGAAATTTGGAGAAGCCATAAACATGGATCCTCTGAGGAAAACTGCCAGCAAGGAGCAGAGGAGACCCACGAGAGAAGCCATGGAAGCTATATCAACCAGAAGTGCCACAAGAGCAGAGTCACCTATGCCCTTTGGAAGTCACTCTTGCCACAGATTTCCTCAGATGCTGCATATGGAAGTGTAGGACTCAGTGTTTTCCTTGCTGGAATTTGGACTTGTTTTGGTCCCATTACTTTGTATCCCCATATGTAAGTTTTGGAATGGAAATGTATCATATGCCATTCAGTGCTGGAAGTGTTCAACTTTCTTTTCATTTGCACAGGAGCTCACAGATAAGAGCTTGCCTTAAACCTCAGAAGAGACTTTTGACTTCCACTTTTCAGCAAAATGCCAAAACCATTAGGACTTTGGTAACTTTTGGAGGTGGACTAAGTGCCTTTTGCATAAAGGAATTTGAGGCCAGGCTGAACTACAGGTAGAGATACTGTCTAAAAGCAAGAGAAGACAAAACAAACAAAATTCTGCCTTGTGCTAATGATATAGGGATGATATAGGACCTCCAAATCCAAATAATATAAGGGAAATATAACTTCCTTCCTGTTAGCCTGGTAGGTGTCTGATATGCCAAGTCTGTCTGTCTGTTTGTTTGTTTGAGACAGGGTCTTGCTATGTAGTTCAGGCTGGCCTTGATCCTCCTGTCTCAGCCTCCCAAGAAGTAGGAATACAGCAGTGCACTGCCATACCTGTCCATGCATTCATATTCTGAAATCAAAGAATGAATTCTAGGAACATCAGTGGTTACTAGCAGAAAATAATTATTAGAGAAAGAAAGTTATATTTATTGGGGAAAGAAAGCTTCTGCCTAAAAGAGGCAGAAGGGAGCCTGTGCGGGTTGCCAAGCTTCCCTCCCCCAAAGAAGTTTTATAGAGCAAAACTATGAGATGAGGCGGGTCTAAGGTGGGTCTAACTATAATCAATTAATAAGATTGCTAGTGTAGTTGCTTGGGAAACATTGATTCAATGGAAAATCACAAGGTGGTGTATGAGGTTGCCAAGCAATAAGATTATGGGTATAAACGCTTAGGTAATATTGATTCAATGGAGATCAAACGGGGAGCAAGTCAGGTATGCAGAATGAATGGGAACTTTTTCTGAAAGGGAGGTTTTGGTCTCCACACAAGGTGATCCATACCTGTTTAGAGTATCAGTCATTGATGTTCATTCCCAAGGGAAAGTATGTAGGTATAATCATTCCATCTTGTTTTAAGTCTGGCCTTTAAGGAATGTGCCTCTATTCATAATAGTTCTGTATCTGCACTGACTCCTTTTGAGCTACCTATAATATTAGGATCGAAATAATGTTTTTGAATTTTGTTGGAGATTGCATAACTTTTAGAGAAAATGTCTCAAATCGAAAATTATATAATTTTATGAATTTTAAGAATGTTATGGGTGATTGGACTGTTTTTGTGTTTTGTTTCCGGGAATTGAGCCCAGATTATGCTATCACCGAGCTACATCCCCAGCTTTTTTTTTTTTTTTTCAAGCCAGGGTCTTGCCAAATTGCTCAGACTGGCCTCAGATTTGCTCCCCTTTTATCTCAGCCTTCTGAGCAACTAGGATTACAGGCATGTATCTCTTGGGGGATCAATCCTTTAGTACTTTTTGATATTCAAGTAATGTGTATTAAGGAATGCAACCTACATAAAGTTGGTAGTGAAAATCTTGCTTTCACTTGAAATCTTAAAATTGCTAAAAATTTCACTGGGAGAATAAAGGGGCCCAAGGAAGAACAGCAGCAGGATGCAAGGCTTCAGCATAAGCCCAAGTAATTTACCATTGGCTTGGCCAAGTTTGTTTCGGGAATTTGAAGAATTCGTATTCACTTATTCATTCCTAAATATTTATTTAAAGATTATGTATGTCATTTGTGATACAACAGTAAGATACATAGGTCTGGTCCTACAAGTTTACATTGTAATTCTAACAGAGCTTACGTTCCAGGGCACTGTAATACTAAACAGTATATCCAAGTCTAGAATAAATCGGATAAACCAATCTGATCTCAGGCCACAGCAAAAATCACCACTTTGTTTTCTGTTCTTAGATGTTAGGTCTTCTCAGTTCCAGAGGGCAGAGCCAGGAGGATAAGGAGAGACCCCCCCATCTAAATTTTACAGACTTCTTGTTTGGGTTCGGCAGTTTAGGACTGCAATTCCAAATTGCTCCTGTGGAACAGAAGTAACTCTATGCAAGAAGTGAAGGGGAATACAGGAGAAACGCGACCCCAACAGAACTCAAGAGACTGAATAACAATCACCCGCCGGTACCGGAACGCTATGGACTACAGTTCCCATAAACCACTGGGGCCCTGCCCACTTCCATTCCTTCAGCCTGGGAAAGAGGGTTTAAAGGGTGCGCTCTTTTTGCGTCATTAGTTTGCGCCACCCGGTAGCAAGTCTAGGCTGCAAAAGCATGGCAGTTGCTGAAGCTGTGGTGCTTTCTTCGCCTTTGAAAACAGACGTAGCCCCGATCTTAGACGCTGCAGAAACAGGCTCAACAATGGCCAGAAAGTCTGTAGCAACAGCTGCGGCCGCAAGTATTGCGGCCACGGCCAGAACTGGAGCTGAAACGAAGGTCACCAAGGCCCCTTTGGCTACTAAACTGCTGTCTCTCAGCGGCGTGTTCGCAGTGCACAAGCCCAAAGGGCCCACTTCAGCCGAGCTGCTGAATCGGTTGAAAGAGAAGCTGCTGGCAGGTACTGCAGCCCGGGTGGGGACCAGGATGAGGCGGCTGACGATAGAGAGAAAACACACTGGGCTTTTTGGGGCTCCCCTGGTTTGAGAGATGAAGGAAAAGGGAGAGCGACGACTGAGTTAGCTCTGGACAGAATTCTGGGGCATTTCAGGCTTGCACCTGTTCTAGTGTGAAGTCCTGTAGCCTAGTGGGCAGTTATTCTTAAGAGAAGGGAAAGACCCCGCATACACAATAAATCTCGGCCATAGGGCTTGCAGACTAGTTTTATAGAATCGGATTCTTCAAGAGCGTCTGTTTGATTCATGTGGATAAAATCCACTCTTAAGGAAGCTTTGGTTTTGTATCCTCAGTTTTATTATTAAAAACATTGAAAACTGAGCATGGTGACATACACCAGTAATTGTAGTATTGTAGGAAGCTGAGGCAGAAAGATTGCAAATTCAAGCCCAACCTTGCCGATTTAGCAGGACCCTAACTCAGAAAAGCCTTGGGATGTAGTTTAATGCAAAAGAACTCGCGTTCAGTCTCCAGTACCACCATATATATTACACTTACTTACCCAAGACTAAATAATAGTGTTTTTAAAAAAATTTTAATGGGCATAAGAATTGCTTAGTCTATTAAACAAATGTAGATTCCTAATCCCTGGTCTTCCAGAGATTGTGAGGGTAGGATATTTTCAGGCAATTGCATTTTTAAACATGCTGCATATGGCTCTCGTGTAAGTGAATCTGTGGGCCATATTTTGAGGGACCCTGAATATAACTTGATATGGGCAGAAAAATGACGGGCGCCAAAAATTAAAAAGAAGCACTTTGTTAGCTGAGCTCAGCAGCAGCACTGTCCCAGAAAAGCAGCCAAGGCAGTGTGTGTGGAGCCAGAGGCTGCAAGGAGTTATAAAGTAGCAAGCCACAGGGGGAGGGGTCAGGGTCTTAGGATCAGTTTGTCCCTATAAAAGGTAATTTGGTTTAGTTTTACAGGAACCAGGAAGGCTGAACAAGCAGTTACAGAAACCAGGGAGGCAGGGAGGGGGTTAGGGTGGTGGGTATGTTACAAAGTTGCAACTTAACTGGCAATTACACAAGTTTTACAGGAAGAGAACAAGTTATAATAAGTACAGCACATTTTGGATTTTTGAGCTTATAACATAACTTGGCTGTTTCTCCAAGAGCATTCTTTTGTGTCTATACACACTGGAAAAATATTAGAAAAGCCTGAAGGGTTATACAGTTTACAGTTCAGTTTATAACCCTGAAGGGTTATACAGCCCGAAGATCACTTCAGAGAGTAGCAGCGATGTCACAATTTTATTGGACATCCAGGTTAAACTAGATGTGTGCTAACATACAGAGAGATAGATGAAAAATAGTTGTCTGTGACCTGAGTTTACAACCTAGCAATTTCTGCAGCCTTTATTACTAAAATCATTTAGACTTTCTAGAGTTTGGTCTTATGTTGTCTCACCATTAAACCTTTTATTTTTATTATTATTATTATTATTATTATTATTATTTGTTGTTTTCCTTTTTATCGGTACCAGGGACTGAACTCACAACTGCCTGCTTGCAAGGCAGGCGCTTATGCCGCTGAGCTAAATCCCCAGCCCCTTAACCTTTTATTTTTTGTATCAGGAATCAAACTCAGGACCTCTAGCTTGCTAGGCAAGCCCTGTTCTGCTGAGCTTTATCTCCAGCCCTGGCCATTAAACCAATACTGGAACTTTTTTCTTATTTTGTTAGGTAATGCTGGCCCATTTTATCTTTCTGTTGTTTTTTTGTTTTGTTTTGTGTTTTTGGTACCAAGAATTGAATTGACGACCTTGTGCTTGCCAGGGCAGGCACTTACACTGCTAAGCTAAACCCCGCCCAATTTTACCTTTTTAAAAATATGAAACCAAATTATTCTCATGGGAATTTGGTAATTGTAATAGTAACAATGCAAAATTAAATGTTTATTGGCAAGTATGTACATTCTTACATGTATGTACATTCTTACATGTTTAATTCCAAGATTATACATGCTCATTCTTTCCTAATATGTTGTAAGAATGAATCACACAGGGAATGATGAAACAAGGAGTTGTGTTAAGGGTAATCATTATGGTGTTTTTAAAGCCCCCGCCAAGTACACTTGCTGTTTTCATTTAGCCTAATATCTCAGTTAAAGTATGGCTCTTTCTCTCTCTTTGAACCTCAAAGTAATTATTACCATTCTTTTTCTCAGACAAGTTTCTGACAGGATCAAAGCCACACCCTAGCTTTCTGATTAATGTGTTTCCAAGAATTGAAGCTTTCTGTTGATACATGGTTAAAGTAGATTGTTTCAAAGCCATTGCTAGGCCATTTTCTGGAAATCCCTCATTAAGATGTTGCTAACCCTCCCTTTCTATAATGCTTATGATTGGCCTGTTCTATGTTTGTATTAGCTAGATTAGGGCCTCTCAAATGTCATTCTAACCAGCTGTCAGAATTTCCTGGGAAGGATCTTAATGATGTCCACATTCCAATGCTGGTCAGGTTTAATGAGCACTAATTAAAGTCATGGTCAGCTGTGATGGCCTTCAAGAACATTCTTTCCTATATTGATTCCTGCCATACTCTAATCCCTACTCGGCTTTGTGTGTTTAAATCCTTCAAGACCTGAAACACACCAGATACCTTAATAAATATTCATCCATGGATATTTGCTTCAGTAGAGTGAATTTATGAGGCCTTCACACTCTGAGGAGTACCAAGCTGAAAATACAAAGAGTTCTCCAAAAGATTCCAATAGATTCATACGTGAGGGATCCATGATATATTGTAAGTGAAAGGTGAAAGGTTTGAAACTAGGTCTACCTTAGAGGTTTATGTTCAAAGGCCATGTTTTATAGTTCCAAAGCACAAAGTTTTGTCTTTAAGACAGGAATGTGAAAGATGCTGAGGTCATTATCTTCTTTTTTTTTTTAATCCAAATGCTTTAGAGGCTAAGACGCAACTTAACTGTCACCTATTTCCCACATGACTTTTTGTAGAATTAGCTTCTTTAACGTGTTGAGAAATTTTGTTAAGAAAAGTGGACAAATAAACTTAGTTTGAGAACTCATTATACTTAGAAGTAGTCCTGTGTGAGGTGTACTCTCAACATAGGTAGGCTGGAGGTGCCAGCGAAGAACACTATGAAGAGATTTCAAAATGGAAAGTTGAAGACTTCTAAAGCTATCTGTCTATATAAAAATTAACTTTTTTTCATTATTCTTTAATAGTTCACTACCACCAGGAATTTCCTAGACTTTTTTACAGGTTAGCTTAGATTTTTATTCATAATTAATTCTCTCTTTTTCCTTTTTTAGAAAATACATTGTCATTTCTAGACATTTAGTTTTGAAATAGTACTTTTTTTGAAGTTAGGGGATGTATGTATATTTTACAATCTATGGTCCTAGACTTAATATGTTAAGTCTGTACAGTACCTACTTCATTCATTTTAGTAATTATGTTTTTTGTCATCCTGATTATTCTCACAGAAGCTGGTATGCCTTCTTCAGAATGGACCAAGAGGAAAAAACAGACCTTGAAAATTGGGCATGGAGGAACTCTAGACAGCGCAGCCCGAGGTGTTCTGGGTAAGACACATGAAGTCAGATTCAATTGACTAAAACCATGTCATTTTTAGTCTACTGTGGAATGTTTTAGTTTTACTGAATTTATAGTGCTATCTTCTAATGAAGCCATTAAATTGTATAGAATATACAAGGCCCCGTGTAATGACAAGAATCTTTAAAGAGTTAAAGAAGCAGGCAGAAGAGAGAGATGTAGCAATGGAAGCCGAAGTTGCAGTGATGTGATTGCTTTCTTATGAAAAGAGATGGGGATTGTTTATCAAAGAGTGTGAATTAAAATAAAAATGTGAAAGATTTAAATATTAAAGCAAACATTAAATCTACTTAAAGATAAAATAAAACACTTAAAGACATGGGTATAGGAAAATACTTTCTAAACAGTCTCAACTGCACAAGATATAGCAGCAAGAATCAACAAATTGGATTATATTAGACTAAAAAATTTTTGTACAGCAAAAGATTCAGGTAGAGGACTAATACCTAGGATACACAAAGAACTTAAAAAAATTAAATCTCCTAAAATTAAAGACCTAGTCAAGAAATGGGTGGAAGAAATGAACAGAGGAAGAAATACAATAGTTAATGAATATATGAAAAAATGCCCTACAACTCTGGCCATTAGAGAAATGTGAATTAAAACAGCATTAAGATTTCATCTTATTCCAGAAAGAATGGCAGTCATTAGGAAATCAAACAATAACAAATGCCTGTGTGGCTGTGATATAAAAGAAGCCCTCTTGCATTGTTGGTGGGAATATTAACTAGCACAATCATTATGGAAATCAGTATGGAGATTTTTCAAAGAACTGAAATTAGAAATTCTATATAACTCAACTATCCCTCCTACTAGGTATCTTCCATAGTGAGTTTAATACATCATACTACGAGCAGCCCAGCTTATAATAGCTAAATCCTAATAACAGATGGATAGAAAGTATTATAGCTATGTCTAGATGTCCCCCCAAATGTGCTCATGTGCCGATAGGTGGGAGTTTTGAAAGCTGGCTACATCTAGGGTATGTGATGCATGAAATAAGGGAGTGTGATTACTAAATTAGTCCACTAATATAGTTCTGGGAGTGGGTAATGAACAGGTCCATTCTGGGTGTGGGTGGTACCATCTGAAAGGCCAGTAGGCTGGAGGGGAAAAAGAGAGCAGCTTCTGCTGCTATTGTTACTGCTGCTTCTGCTGCTAGCTGCTGGCTGCTTTGCTGTTTCCTGTTTGCTTGCCATGGACTGTTTCTGTTGTGCAATGCCTGTCTGCCATGCCACCCTACCTTGGTGTGAGCCAGTTGTGGACTGAAACCACTACAAACTGTGAGCCAAAATAAACCTTTCTTCATTTAACTTTTGGGTGTCAGGTATTTTGTCTCAGAAATGAGAAAAATAAAACAGAAGGGGGACAAGCGCTGGATTTCTTGCTTAGAGAAATGATCCAAGTAATTAAGGGCAAGTATGAGGAGGAGAAAAAGGAAAAATGTGTAGAATAATGATATGCATTGTATAGGAGTGTATATGCTAGTAAGCTCAGTTAATGTAACTGTTCTATGCCCTAACATGAGCCATGGTTAATAATATCAACAAGAATGAAAAATGGGAATTGGAGGAGGAGTTAAGGAGTAGGTAAGGAAGGGAAAGGAGATAAAAAACACAAAGAAGTCACTATAGTAGGCATGTGTCACCACTCCTCAAGATAATTATAAGCTGCATGTACTACAGACATATACAAAAAAAGCATGTAAATTGGTCTGTAGAAATTGGAAAAGGTAAAAACAAAACAAAAAAGCAAAAAAGAAAGCAAAAGAAAAACCTCCCAAGGGAGATGAATGAAGCATCTCTGAAGAACCTCCAAGAGACAACACAACCAAATCAGACTTTTTAAAAAAATTAATACATAGTAATTGCCTTAGTCTAGTCAAACCCATTTCAGACCTCAGGCTTCTAGAATTGTCAGATAAGAAGTTTATATTGTTTTAAGCCGTTAAATCCATAGTTTGTTACTATAGCCATAGTAAACTAATACTCCCATGTTCCATAAGTCACTTGAGATATGTCTTATTTTTCTTTCATTGCTAGGACAAAATACCTGACACCCAAAGTTAAGGAAAGATTTACTTATCTCAGTTAGTATAGGTTTCAGGCTATAATCAGGCTATAATCAAGGCAAGGTGGCGTGGTGAGGGGCAATAGTTCAAAGTGGCAGAAGATAGCAAAAGCAACAAGAGCAAAAAAGGAAGGAGGAAGCCTCTTTTACTTCCCTTGTATTGTATTATATGCAGGCTACCTGCCCTCCGATGGGTGTAGCACTCACACCATCCCCATGCCCTTCTCTTGCACAGGCTCAGGATGTTCACAAAGTGAGGACCCTGGCCCTCTGCTGAGTCCCTCAGTTAAACCTAAATGTCTCAAGTTAACACAATGAACAACATCCTAGGGCATAAGGACATGTCCTCTACACCCTAAGATACAGAACTACTGAGTTATTTAGTTAAGCTTCTCAAGTTGATACAGTGTATCAAACATTATAAAACAGAAACAAAAGTTTTACTTATCACTTTAAAAAGGATGATTTTTTCCCTAACTTGAGAAAGTATAAAAGTATGGTACAGAAAATTTTAGAAATACAAAAAAAAAAAAATTGAAAGTGTAAAAGTAACCTTTTTTCTGCCTTTCACTAAATAATCAGTTAACATTTTTGCTGTATTTTCACTTAGTTTTAAATGTGTAAGTTTTAAATGTTCAGTTCTATTTTATGTATTTATATACCCTGTTTTTTTTACCTAACATTATAGCATTTTTCACGTTACTTGAAAAACTATAAACATTATTTTAATAGCTACTAATATAAGAGTAAAAAGACAATTTCTAGTTCTCTATTTGACGACACTGAAGTTTACTAGAGTTTTATTAGTGAAACTGATTTTGTAGGAACAGCTGTATTAATAAGACCTTCCTTATGGTTTGGATGTTTAGGGTACATTCCTAGAATTGGGACAATACAGGTCTTCAAAGATAATTAAGAGGGCGTGATAGAATTAGAAAAATAGCGGTAGAAATTTGCAACTGTGGAAATCTTTGGAAATGTGTGGAAAATACTTTTGCCTGGTCCTAAAACGACTCTTACAATAAACTGATTTTATCTTTACGATTTGAGAAAAGTTTCTAGGGCACTGGATGGGTTTGGAGATAGCGGGTTTCTTACAGAGAATATTTGAGTGAGCCCAGGAAATTTGGAAGACAGAGTAGTCATTGTTTGCGAGGAAAGTCCTCTTACTCATCTCTCCTCTAACTGCTGCAGTTTTGCAGACCATGTCTTGGTTCATTTGTTTATTTTTATAGGAACTGCTTATTTCTGATGTCACTTGTATTGACTTTTTAGGTTTGACCAAAAACTGCTGTTCTCAATGTATGAAGGCTACCTGCTTTCTTTTTTATTGCTAATATAAAACTTTTTCATTTGGTTCTTTTTCTGTTAACATTCATCCCCCTGTTAGGTTATAGACCACTGAACTGACTTATCCCAAGCTTATTTATTTCTATATTTATATAGTAATGCAATTTTGAAGGATCAAAAAACAGGCAAAAAGCTAATGATACGTCCATCTAGGAATATAAGATACTCTTTTGTAGTCTTTATGTTTGTGTTTGTTTTTATTTTTTGAGACAGGGCCTTCCTCTGTAGTTTAGGCAAGTCTTGAACTCACTATGTAACCCAGGCTGGTCTTAAACTTGCTGTGATTCTCCTGCCTCAGCCTCCTGTGTGCTGGAATTACAAGCATGTGCCACCAAGCTCAGTGTTTTTTTTTTTTGAGACAGGGTCTTGCCTATGTGGTTTAGCTGGCCTTGAACTCTATGTAGCCCATTCTGGCCTCGCACTCACAGCTGTCCTCCTCCTGTCTCAGCCTCTCAAGTACTGGAATCGCAGGTGTGTACCACCATGTCCAGCTTTCCTTTAGTTTTCATTCCGTCTTCATCCCTGCCAGTTAGAAGTGCCTCAGTTCCTAATAGTGTTTCTACATCGCACTGCTGATTAGTCTTCCCCAAATTCAGCTTTCACTAGTCACTTACCTTCCACTGGCCCTGATTTTCGGGACTGTGCAGTGAGAGGGATAAGGTGGATAACTGATCATTTGGGATCATTTAACTAGCTCAAAGTCATCATTAATTCAGCATTTTGACTGTGGTAAAGTTAAATATGTCAGTTTGCTTTTAACACACCCTTGTCTCAGTATTTGTGTGCTTGGGCCTCCTTTAGAACATGCTTCCCTTTTCTGTGTGTGTTCAAGTCCTGTACGTTCTTCAAGGCCTAACCAATGGGACCACCATCTAGAATGGTCCTCTTTCAGCCTCCTACTGCACCTGTTCTCTGTTCGTTTTGGTGCTTTGTCATGTTGCATGCTGTTACTATTTAACATTATTCACTCCCTAATTCAGGAAATGATTTTTGAGCCCTGTGATTTCCCTGTTTCTTTACCCTCTGAGGCAACAAGCTCATTTAAAGTCAGGAAATATGTTTTTGGCTTCTTTGTTGTCCTATCAGAGACCTCCCCCTTGGGACTTTGTGCATAGTACATGTAAAAAGTTTGATGAAGAATTCATTTGAATGAAATCAAATTGCATTGGGTGTTGGTTATTATTATTATGTAGTTTTTTGCCTCAGCAACAGTGTCAACAAATTGTCATTTGAAGAGTATTTTAACTTTTTAAAATATACTGAGGCAGTTTTTGATAGTTGTCCTTGAACTAATATACATCTCTTTAGTGCCCAAGGATCAATATAAGTGAATATCATAGGCATTTACAGGGGGTTTGGAATAGAAGTCACAAATTACTTGGGAATTTAGCCGGACTTTGAAGATAGACTTTGAATATTAGGAGTTGATATTATAGAAACTGAAATCTCACTAAGGGTTGCTGGGGGCTTTGTAGTGTAGTGAAATGGGGTTTGAGATGCAGTAATGAAATAATATGAACTTGAAGAGCAAGGGACAAACGGAAGAATAGTGAGACTGGCAGTAGTTTAGGGTGGTGGCAGAAGAAAGAAAACCTGGAGCAGAGTGGCAGGGGAAAGGTTCAATTTGAGTTTTAGCTCTACCATGTATTGATTGTGAGATACTAGCCAAAATTCAGTGTTTCTGTGCTCAGTTCCCTTGTGTGTAAAATAGAGATAATGGTATACTTTTTCAGGATCAGTATAAGGATTAAGTTAGATTATGAATGAAAGCATTCAGAGCGAACTTGATACATGATAAATCCACTGCATGATACCTGCTATATGTATTGATTTTTTTTCAGTTTTATAATTATTTCTCCATGTGTCCTTCAAATTTTGAACTGTGGGGTCATATTGTATTGTATACAGTTGTATCCATTGATGATAAATACAATTCTTATAAAAAAAATTGGCTGCTGTTAAGTGAAGAAATTATTAAATCTTCTCAACCATCTAGTAAAATACGTTATTGGAAAGATAATGTTTGCAACTGAACAACTGAAGAAAAAGGCAAGGTTTTGTTTTGTTTTTTTTAAGTGTTACAGTTGATCTCTGTTAAAACACATTATGGATATGAGTGTGTACCACCATAATCTCAGAACTTTTTGGAAATGGCTTGTGGGCAGAGTTTGGAAAGGTTTGGACATGTCGCCTGGATACATAGAGCTGGAGCAGCTTAGGCTGTTCTGTAGAGGAGATTCTGGTCAGAGCTCAGGAGACCAGAAGGCTGATAGAAAGCCGGATGGTAAAGACCAGGCTTGGGAGGTTTCTGCTGGGAAGGACTGCATTGGTCGATGGACTCCACATGATGTGTGTTATGGCTTGACAGAAAGTTTGTCTGCATTTTGCTCCTGCCCAGAGACTTTGCCTGAGACTGAGACAAAGGGCAATGGACTGATTAATCTTGAAAAAGAAATTAAAAAGCAATTGAACATTGAGGCTGTGGCATGGCTATTGTTGGGGGCTTTTAGCCAGCTTTATGTTTTAAATCAGGAGCAAAGAGCCCAGCAGGATAATATACAATGCTCTGAGTTTGGCCCAAAGGAAAATTCCAGGAAGGCTGTGGATTGTAAAGACAGAGTTGAGATTTTGATTCCTGAGGAGAAACAGAGAGATAAGAAAGATGGCCCCAGGGCATCCCAGGAATCAGGTCTCCACCTTGTGCAGCCTCACAGCAAAGGTGAAAAAATTTGCTCATAGGGAAAAGCTGCAGAGTGCTATGTTCCAGAATGGCGACAGCGGCCACATGAGGTTCCAGAATGGCGGCAGCATAGAGAAGCTTTTTCTCACAATCAGGTAAACAGAGTCCTGCAATCCAGGCAAATGACCCCTATAGCCAAGAGAGAGAAAAGCCTGGCTACTGCTTCAGCTAGCAGCAAACCTTGGCGGCATCCACAAAGTGCTGATTTTAGGTGCAAGGCAAATGCACAAATTCTGAGGGTAAGACGGCTTCCACCTTGATTGTAAAGGGCCTGGGAGGCCAAGCAGTGTGCCCCTGAGAGGGCAATTTGTAAAGATATAAAGGTGAAGTCAAAGGTGCAGTGAAGACCCCAGAAGATTGAAAATGCCAGAAATGTGGGTGATCCAAGGAAAGCTGCAAAAAGCGAGCAGAGAGGATTTTTTTAAAAAGCTGCAGGAGCTGAAATCCCTGGAAGTGTGGTGGGGGTGGAATCACCCAAGCCTTTTGGAGCTTACATCCAGATTGCTTCAGGTGCTGAGCATGGAACTCTAGGACTTAATGTTTGTCCTGCTGGATGCTGGACTTGCTTTGTTTCCGATGCTTTATATTCCCCTGTTTGTAATTTTTGGTATGGTAATGTTTATTTTGTGCCTTTGCATTTGAGAAATGTTTAACCTTGTTTCATTTGTACAGGGGGTTACAGTTAAGAGTTTACCATAGATCTTGGAGGAGACTTGGGACTTGGACTATTTAGCAATTCTGAAACTGTTAGGACTTTGACAACTCTTGGAGATGGACTAAATGTCTTTTGTATAAAGGATGTACATGAGTCCTGGAGGCCAGGGGTGGAATGTCATGGTTTATGTCTGTGTCCACCAAGCCTCATGAGTTTACATTGTGTATTTGTGATTGTTTCATTGTCTAGTGCTTGGATTGATGGTGTCAGTGCTCCACCCACAAAGAGGTAGAGCCAGGATGTGATGTAATGGCAGGAAGAAGGTGTGTCTTGCTCTTTGCTGATTCCGGCTTGCTGTTTGCAGCCACCATGAAAAGCGGCCCAGCCATTCCCGCCTGCCTGGGAACCAACTGAGTGTGGACTGAAACCTCCAAAAACTGTGAAAAATAAACCTTTCCTTTCCCAACTTTGGGCTTCAGGTATTTTGTCTCAGCGACAAGTAAAAAGTAACTAAGACAGGAGCTGAGGCAGAAAGATCATAAATTTGAGCCCAGACTGGGTGACTCAGTGACTTAGGAACACCCTGTGTCAAAATAAAAAAATTTCAAAAGGCTGAGGATATAGCTGAGTGTGAAACCTTAGATCCAGTCTCCAGTGCTGGGGAAAAAAATCTCTAGGCCTTCATTTTTGCCTATAATTTTTCTGCATGTTAGGGTGATTTGTTATGTCTCGCTTTTCTTGATTATGTACTGCTGGGCACTAATCATCGTTTAAATGGTTCATTAGCTATGATGATGGCTTTTGCTTTGTTTAATAATGAATTCTGTCAAGATTTGATCATGCTATTTAGACATGGTTAATTGTACCATGTATTTTTCACTAGAGCCCATATAAAACTCTAGTAGATTCTTTGGGGTTGTTCTAGAAAACTTGCTTATCTCATTGCCCCAATTGAGATTTCTTTCTTGTTTAATACTTTGAGAAAAAAATTCTTTCTTCCATTCCCTCTTTAGAATTTTTTAGTTGCCTGGAAATTCAGTTGATTGAAATAATAGGAGCCCTTAAATTTTGTTAACTATATACTCTCTTCAGCTTCACATAATATAGGCCAGAAAATTATGAAAAAAAAGTATACATATTTTTAAAACTTAGTTTTCAAAATAGTGTCTTAATATTTTTCTCTTTGATTTGCAGTCATTGGAATTGGAAGGGGAACAAAAATGTTGACCAGTATGTTGTCAGGTTCTAAGGTAAGAATACTGGAATATTTTTATTTTTTCTTTAATATTTTTCTAGATAATGCACTGTACATGTTGAATTTTATCAGTTAAAAATACATAATGTAAATTGCATGGACAAGTGTTTTTTCTCAAATGACAATGTCTGCAAACATCTCAGACTCAGATACTGCAGCTATAAATGAAAAAAAGAAAACAATTACACCCTAAAGGAGCAAAATTCAGCTGTGCCCACAGTTTTAAAATTTAGATTTTTAAGATAGAATCAGAGTTCTTAGATAAAAGTAAATTTAATGGTTGTAAATTCTATTGGCTGATTTTTTTTTTCTACTTTGAAATATGTATAAACACTACCATTTTGTAAGCCCTGCACTCTTCAGCAAAAAGATGCTTTGTTCAGTGTTTATGAAATATCTATTAAAGAAAAGAGCGGGACTTCTTTAAAATGATAAATCACATGCATCTATGAAAGTGGACTAGATACAAAAGCACTTTTTAAACAGCTTAATAGGGGACACAGGAAGAGGGGCTGTGTGAAGGCCCAAGAGGCTGGGAACCCGCTGACTGCGTCATGAATTCAGTGTTCTGGAGGGAAACAGAAATCAGGATGTCACAGCGGTTAACCACCCTAGGAAGAATCATCAGCGTCTCTTCCAGCTCTAAAAGGGCTAACAGTGTGTGTGCTTTAATTAGGAGTTAGGCCCCAGTTTTTATAGCTGGAGCGAGGGGGGTCCCATGAAAATGCCTGCGGAAGGAAGTGAGTATTCCTGTAAATAGAGAAGAATTTTAATAAGTTCTTAGACTAAACTTCTTGTTTTAAAACCCTTGTGCCAAATGTGATATAAGTAACTGGTAAACAATTTCCAGTTTACTGCAGACTGATTGATGCTTGTCAAATATAATTAAAATGTTAGGCAGTATCCAGTAGCTAAATACGTTTCTGAACACTGATTTTCTGAGCCTGCCCCGTTAGTGGATCTGGCCCCATGGATCACACTTTGAGTGGCAGTAGTCTGAGTAAGTTTTTGTTAAAATAAAATCCCTGATTACTCTAGGGCATAAAATCCCATGCCTTTCTATTGGAAGAGATAAATGAAAAATTTTAGTGTATCTTGCTTTGTTACCTTCAGAATATCAGTGTTCAAAAGATTTCACAGAATAAAAAAGTATGTTAAGATGGAAGTGTTTGACTATTTCCCAGAAAGTTACGTACTGAGATAAATGTTAACATTGAGTTTATAATCTGTTTCTGATACAAGTTTGGCCAGTTGCTTAACATTTGTTTCTCAAGTCCAAAATATAAACTATAGTTACGCAACAGGGGAAAATGAGTGGTTTTGGTTTTTTGTTCACGTTATTTGATATTTTCTAAAATCTTTACAGTAATCAAGACACTTTTATATTAATAAACAAAGATAAGTTCACATTAAGAAATTGGATTAGGCTTTTTTTCCCCAACACAAAAGCCATGTAGTTTTGGAAATATATGTTATTCACCACTTCCAATTCAAATCACAAACATGTACAGTATACTGCATGTGGTTGGCACAACTTGTAAATTCCAGGTGTATTTTCACAAATATTACAGTTGAAAATATGAATACATCACTCATTCTAGTTTAAATTTTGTTACAAACCCTTTTGCTATTCACCTAGGAAAGCTAGCTGTCATATGGTGAAATGCGGGATCCTCAGATGGCTGAAACATAAATAGAATAACCCAGGTGCATCTTGTTACAGAAACCTAGTTCTTGGATATTTGACATTTCAAACATAGGCATCATTTTCTTGTTAACTATACTTCTCATACTGTTAATTTTATGTTATATATTTGTTGAAAGAAATCATTTAAATCTTTTAAATATATTGAAGATTACATTTTTTGTCAAAACTAATTAAAAAGCATCAGTGAATCATTGTTCTGATAGTTTTTGTTTTTTAGTACTAGAGAGGATTTTAGAAATCATGTTATGGTGATTTTCAAAAACATTTGTTACTAAGAGTAACCATAAAAAATTCATTTTATATCATGACCTTATATACAAATGTGTAAAAAAAAGCAAAAACTTTATCAAATTCAACAATATGGTACAATATATTTTTGATACCTTCCCTCCTTTTCATTTTAAAATTATTAGTGCCTAGCTCAAATCTAATGTTTGATCTTATGTGTCCTTTTTCTCTCCTTCTGTTTTTACAGATGCATTTTTATTTTTGTTACAGTACTGTTAGAAAAAAATAACACTTTTAGTGTATGTAGGGTGCAGTTGCTTCAAGACAGAAATATTTTGTTCTGGAATGGAATTCAGTATTAATATTACAGGAATATTGTAATATACTTCTCACTAGCGAGTCCTAATTGGAAACATTACTAATTGAACATGGGCTAACAGTTGTTCTCCAGAATTAAGAAATAACCTTAAAATTATTAGCAACATCCTGCTTCATACATCCTGCTTCATCTGCTTCATACAACCACTGTAAATCAATAAATGGAATGGTGACCTTTTAAATAAAATTTTTAGGTGGGCATGGTGGTACATGTATGTAATCCCATTACTCAGGAGGCTGAGGCAGAAGATCACTGTGAGTCAAGGCCAGTCAGAATTACAAAGTGAACTTTGACTCAAAAAAGACCAAAAAAAATTCCTTATACCATCAGATCATTATTTTGCTTCCATCTGTGAAGCCTAGAGACTATTCAGACCACTCAACTCTTTTCTTGCTTTCCCTTTTATTCAGAACGAGGTTTAAAAGTTAAGACAAGGCTGGGGATTTAGCTCAGTGGCATAAGCACCTGCTTTGCAAGTAGGCAGTCATGCGTTCGATCCCTGGTACTGATAAAGAAAAAGACAAAAAAAAAAAGTTAAGACAAGACATCCCTAACGTGTTCATCATTCTTGCTCTTTTGTCTTATAGTAGTCTTTGTTTTGCCAGTGATTATGTTTCTCAAGTCTTTTATTTATTTATTGTCACTTTGTTTCTCTTGAACACTGTCACTTTCTCTTTTTTTTTAATGTTTTACTGCATGCTTTGGGGTTATATGTATAATGAGCTTTAAAAACATCTTTTTAAAATTTTCATAAGAGAGAGAGAAAGTCTGTGTGTTAGTTACTTGAGGTCTCACTCTAAGCTTCATTTCCAGCCCTTTTTATTTTTTATTTGTGACAGAGTTACTAAGATATTACAGGCTAGCCTTGAACTTGTGATCCTTCTGCCTCAGCTTCCCAAATAGCTGGCCTACAAGTGTGCAGCGCCACCGCTGAACCCAATTTAGAGTGCCTTCTGCCCTCTGTAGAGAAATTGATAAGTAATAGTGTTATTACTATGTCACCTATCACCAGATCACCCCTAAATTCTAGGCATGTTCGATTAGTTAGTTACATCTTTTTTCATCCCTATCTGTGATTTATTGGTGAAAATATGGTAATCATCAGGATAACCCTGACAGTTCTTTACGGAAGAGTCAGTCTCTCTGGGTGTTAAAACCAGAAACAAATTCCTATAATAAAGGACTCTGAATAACAAGTGATAGTTCTCAAAAATAGCTTACAGCACATACAAATCTACATAAAATGTAACTTATTAAAATGATTCTGAGAAGTTAGGCTAATATATACCTTTTTTTTTTTTTTTTTTTTTTTTGTCTTTTTCCTTTTTATCGGTACCGGTAATCGAACTCACGACTGCCAGCTTGCAAGGCAGGCACTTATGCCGCTGAGCTAAATCCCCAGCCCCTAATGTATACCTTTGGCCTAACACGGCCTAAATATAGGATAGAGATTATCTACAGGAAAGCAGTAGTCTCTCTACCATTTTTACTAAATTATAATTTCTTTGAGTCAAATATTCAGTAAAAGCAGGATAGCAGATACTGTACTTTGAGGTACAGTCTTTGATGAGATGGTGGAGTTCTATGTTTATTATTTTTATATCAATGATTAAAGCTGGTTACTTTATAGACATTTTAGAAATCAGATAAATAGACATAAAAGTTGATATATTCTTATGAAAACTTAAATCTAATTAGAATTATCCAAATATAAGGCTACCCTCCATTATACGGAAAAAAGATACATGGTACTTGCAGGCAAAGCCAGCATTTCCTCAGAAAGGTTTATTATAACCTTCAATAGATGAACAAGTATTATTATTAGGGTATATAAATTTTTCCATCAGGAATGTGATCAAAAGACAGAAAGTTTCCCTAAGAACAGTGTAGCATTTTTCAGTTGAACTGGTCATGAGATCTCTGAAAGATGATTCAAATAATGCTCCTGTGAAACTTAGACAACTTTTTTTTTTTCTTTGAGACAGAGTCTCACTATACAGTTCAGACTGGCCTTGAGCTCACTTTGTAGTGAGCTGGTCTCACTACAGACTCAGACTGATCTCGAACTTATGACAATCCACCTGCCTCAGGGTTAGAGAAAGAAAGACAAACTGCTTTGTGTCCCTTATATAGCCTTGTATTTAGGTTATCTGACCTAGGATGAGTGTAGCGTTTACACCCTTAACTCCAGCATTGGACCATGAATCAGTCACAGAGTCTAGAAGGGCGTGCCCATGACTGCACAAGGCTTTGGGGAAACATCTAGACACAAACATAAAACTTCCCCACCAAAATAAAACACAGCCAAATACACAGTAGATGCAGAACCTGGAATGTTTTGAGATTTCGCAGATACAGTCTAGATGTCAAAATTGAGATGAAATATGAAGACTTGTACACATAGAAACTGCTCCAGCATGTTTGTAATTCTATTAAGAGATTATTAAACTGTTACCATGTTTCCATCTAGTAAGGAATACAATAGAACAGTAATGCAAAACCCTGGTAATTTGAGACTGTAAGAATCAATATATAAATTATGCTTGGAAAACAGTTGTGTATGGGTAATTACGTGTGAAACATTATAATATGAGAGTTGAGTAAGATCATCTGCTGGTGACGGCCCTTGCATCTGTTATCATCACTCTGTTCATTACCTGTTGTAGTTGTTTTATTGTTATCTTAACCTCTTACATTGTAACCTCCCATGAGCCTAGAGATAATGTAACACTTGTAGTTTATATCTCTGTGTCTCATAAGTACCTAGAAGAATAATTTGTACATTCATAATCTTTAAAAAACACAGTGAAATTTATGGATTTGATACAGGCCTTCATTCTTTCTATGACTTTTGTCTTGGGCATCAGCTACTCTTAGTCGTGCTTTGGGGGTGAGTGATTGGGAGTTGGGGTAGATGTTACAAAGTGGCTTTGCAAGGTGAATTTGGTTTTGCTACCGGAATCTCCTTTTGACTCCTCTTGATAGCCATGCCAAAATGTTACTGGGTAGCTCCTTCTAAACGTGGTTCACAGGGGTAGGGGTATGGCTCAGTGGTAGAGCTCTTGCCTTGCGTGCACAAGGCCCGGGGTTTGATCCCCAGCACTACAATAAATCACTTCTCTTTATTGAGAAAACATGTGTGATAGTCAAGTGTGCTACCTCTGCTGTATTAGTTTTGCTCATTTTCTACACATTTAGGTCTTGTTAAATGAATGTTTAGTTACTAAGACTGGTCTTCATATTACATAGAAGAAATAATAAACTGGTGCATTTAAAATTTTAGTTGCATGTGTGGTAAAATTACTGCATTTTGTCATGGCTATGTCATGGTTTGTTCTATTATTCTCTCTATTCATAGGCATGCAGTTGTCTGTGGTGTATGTGGGGGATTGGTTCCAGAGCCTCCATGGATACCAGAATCCACAAATGCTTAAGCCTCTTACAGAAGATGGCATAGTATTTGCATAATTTAAATGCATCTTTGTACATGTTGTACTTTAAGTTATCTCTAGGTTACTTAGAATACCTACTACCATGTATGTGCCATATAAACAGTTGTTAAACTGCGTCATACAGTGACAAGGAAAGGAGCATGGGGCCTGGGTATTTAGCTCAGCGGCATAAGCGCCTGCCTTGCAAGCAGGCAGTCGTGAGTTCCATCCCTGGTACCGATAAAAAGGAAAAAGACCAAAAAAAAAAAAAAAAAAAAAAAGAAAAGGAGCATGTGCATATTCAGTACAGATGCTGTTTTGGGGAACACTTGATCTTGTGATTAATTGATTGAATTTATGGATAGAACATGTGAGTACAAATGGCCAATGATACTTGAAAGCTTTCCTTAAAAAACAAACTTCTCTATACAAAAATCATTTTAAACATTTACAATAATAATGTGTTTATAAAGTATAATTATCAATAAAGTCAGGTTTTTGTTTCTCGTGTTAACCCATGTAGGAAGTTTGTGACTTGGTCCTCAGCGTATGCAAATGCTTCCTGTTGATCAGAAACAAACAGACCAACGCAGCAGTTTTACTGTGTAAGATTTGCCTTCCTTTTGTATCAGGCAGTAGTATTAGTGTAATTCCGTGTAAACATAAGGTGCCTGTGATGGTTTTTAGGGACTCTTGGACCGTTTTTCTTCTTTCCTTCTTCTAGAGGTATATCGCCATTGGAGAACTGGGAAAGGCCACCGACACACTAGATTCTACGGGGAAAGTGACCGAAGAGAAACCTTACGGTATGAAGTCTACGTAATGAAGTTCTTTTTAACATTTGGAGGAAATTTCTGTGAATACATTACTCAAAAATAAGACTCTTACTTGGTATTTCCTCTGATTTTAGTTTCTAGTATGGTTCTTTAGGTTAAGAAAATTGGAAATTAACACATTATTATTATTTATGAATAAACTCTTTTTATACTTTTGTTCTATGATGAACTTTTGCAGTGTTCAGATTTTTTCTTCCTTACCCAAAACATTTATAGCTAGATTTTAGGGTATTTTTCCCTAACAATTGAGAAAGCAGAGATACTATCTTGCTAGATTTTACCTGTCTTGCCTTTTAAAAATAATTACTTTTCAGCTATTAAAGTAAATGTGCTAAGTTTAGCCCTTTAAAACTCTTCATGCTCCTGTGCTTTTGGAGTAAAAAGATAGTATGGAGGGAAAGCTAATTTTCCGAAGTAGATCATAACTCTCTAAGGCCCACCTTAATTTTTCTGCCATTCCTTCTTTGCTTGCTTTAAGAAAGGGTAGATAAATGAATTGGTCTCCTAGCAACTCTCGTAGTGCTGGTGCTATTTATAATGCAGTCATTGCAGTTTTGTCAGTCAGTTGGCCTGCATTATTATGTCACCAAGTGTGAGCTATCCGTAGGCGTTTTTCACCCTATGCTTGATGTTATCTGTTCTTTATTTGGCCGTAGGGAGTGTAGCATCTGGCTTCCCTATGTTTTTAGGTCACTTATTCTTACTGTATATTACTAATTGCCCTCTAGTAACTCTGACCGTTTTCTTATTCATAAGAGCTTCTCTTATACGGTTAATATTTATATGTAGCTTAGTATCCTGCCAATTAGTGAAGCAATATGAAAAGATTGCAATTTATTTCTGAGTCTTTTAAACTAGGTGTTAAATTATCCTTGAAATTATTTATTGTACGAGCAAATAATAAGAGAACCTCATTTAACCAAAACCTAACTATAACCTTCTACCAGAAGTCTTAAGATTTAAGGGACATAAGGCAATAAAAGGATAAAAGAAATTTCTAGAGTATACTGAAGTATATTGTATGTATTTAAATTTCCTATGTCTTTATCTCCATTTGCCAAGTGTAAATAAGAGCTTGATATTCAGCGGAATGGTAACAGGATAGTATAGTTTAGGATTGGTTATAGTTCCGTGATGTTTAAAGAGGACTAGACTACACTAACGTAAGTTTAATTCCTATCTCTGCCCTTTTCTAGCTGTGTAACCTTGAAGATTTCTTAATCTCTTTATGCTTCAGTTTCTTCATGTTCAAAATGATGATAATGTTAAAGTGTTGTGATGAGATTGATTGGAAGAAAGTGAATGTTGGGGTCTCATAGACAAGTCATGAGGCTCTTGTAACCCCAGCAGAGATGATGGTAACTTGCAACAGGATGAGGTGGTAGAGGAAGACATTTTCATTTTAGAATAATGGTTAGTAAGTAAAATGGATGAGATTTGTTGAGTGTTGATAAATGGATTTGGAATAGTGAGGAACTGTCAACCATGACCTAAGTTTTTAGAGTTTAAAACTGATTACACAGTACTGTAATTCACTGAGTAGGGAATGCAAAAAAAGTATTCAGGCTGACAGAAATGCTTACAAACATTCTTCCTAGCCTTAAATATTTGGGAACTGATAAAACTCTACTCTGTACTGGCTAATTTATAATTTTATTTCCTTACCTTAAAGAAAGCTCAGTTTGTTAAAATAATTTATTATAATGTTGTAATAAACCTTAAAGGAACCTAGTAAGTTTCTTCAGGCCCTGTACAGAGAGCTTTATACAATTTATTGAACAGTGTTTGTTGTCTCAGAAAAATGAGAGCTCCAGCAGTTCTGCAAACTGGCATGATTTTTCTGTGTGCTTTTCATAAATCATCATATATTCACTGACTGTTGAACCCACTATCACAAAAATGGCAAGGGCAAGATTAATGAAAGTAAGATCCAGCTTGTTTTCTTTAAGAGCTTCCTGTCTTAAAGGTTCTTAGCACTCGAAAACTCATTGTGTAATCTGTGACAAATATTTTATATGCTTTTATTACGATCCTGAAATGAAATTCAGAAATAATCTAACTTGCATATACATATTTTTAAAGTCAACATAGTGCAGTAAATGGAATGTGAAGAATAAAGGTAATTTATATTAAGTAGTTGTGCTGATACATAAATGTACAAGTATTGCTACACAACGACTCTTCATGAAGTAATCAGATGTTTACATTTACACACCATACCACAGTACAAATGCATACTAATGTAGGTGAACCAGAGCCTCAGTGCTAGGAAATCCAGTATATATAAAATTGGACAAAAATTACTTTGTTTAAATGTAAAGTAGAATTAAATTCAAGCCTCATATAATTATAAACAGGCTTTTCTTCTGCACAACTCTGGCGGACATCCAGAAGTCAGGCAGTGCCCAGAACAGTTCCTCATTGTGTTTCCTGATCTCATATTGCAGGATATTGAGCCTGACCAGCCTTTACTCATTAAAGACTGCTGGTGCCACCACCTCACCCACTCATTATGACTGCAAAATGCAGTTCTTAATTGACCCATGGAAAATAACCGACAGAGTAACTAAGGAATCTGCAGTCAGTGGCAAAAGAATATTCTTTTATTTGTTTTGTCCTGGCTTGACAAGTACTATTTTTAGCTATTGTGTCAGGTAATGGAAAGCAAGAAGAATAAGAAAAAGTGTCATTGGATTTGTAGGCTCCAAGTTCAAACCTTATAAACAGAGCCCTTTTATTCACTATCAGCACCCTCAGGTATTCATAGCATTATTTTACTGTTCATGAATAATCTTTGTATATTAATTCCTTGCGTTATGGGGCTAGAACCACGTCTCTTTTGGTCCTCCCAGTATTTTTGGTGTAATATGTAGCATATAGAATAAAACAATGTGTAGATAAATAAGGCAGGCCACTAGACAATAAATAAGCTCAGGACACTAGAGCCATGGTCCCCCGGGCCTAGAAGTGGGCAAAGGTTTTGGGAAGGCCTAACTTCTACAAAGGTGATAGTTTTTTTTTCTGCCTCTCTTGTGGCTTATTATGAGGCAAGAAATGTAAAAGTGAAATGATTATCTCCTGCCAATCTTCTGCTCTAAAGAGAGACACTGAGATAGAATGTTATCAATAAGTCTTTTCAAATTGTCTAACTGACGTTTTATCTAATAGGAGCATCCCCATCAGACTGTGTAGTTTGGCAGCCCATATTTTAGGAGCTCATAGTGTAGAGGGCTGAAGAGATGATTGGATCTCCAATTGTGATTCAAACAAATAATATATACTGTGAGGAGCACTGGAGTATAACTGGATATCAGCTTTTTTGTGGAGCCATTTGTTTATGTTTAAACTTTTGTTATGAACTGTTACACAAGTAAAGGAAAGTGAACAGATACATTTATGGCTCAATGAATTATCACAAAGTTACTTCCATAGTCAAGAAATAGAAGATTCCTAGGAATTCCTTGTATCTCATGGGAGTCATTATCCTTTCTTTTCCAAAGGTAACTACTGTTCTAAATTCTAAAAGTATGGAGATGGTGCTGGGTGTGGTGGCATACTCCTGTATGCTGTAAGGCTGAGGCAGGAGGATCCTTGCAAGTTCAAGAAAAACCTGGGCTACAAAGTGAGCCGAAGGCCAGCCTCAACTGCATAATGAGACCGTGTCTCAAAAAGACAAAAAACAAAACAAAAAAATATGGAGATGGTTCTTAAACAGTTATGTAACTCTTTTTTTGGTCTGGATTGTTCCATGTATATTGTGAAATTTATGCATGGTGTTACATGTAGTTTTTTGGATATTTTTATTGCTGTGTAGTATGTCTGTGCACTATATATGTACACACATATATACATACATGATTCATACACACATGGTGCTGGGCATTTATGCCAGAAGCTTGTGTTTACCCAAAACGTTTAGCTAATCCTTACCCTTCTTCTGTTGATAGGCATTTGAGTTGTTTCCAGTTTAAGATTTTATGAATAAAACTGCTACCTATATTTTGTGCCTCTGTAGACACATGTATTCATTTCTGTTGGGTTTATACCCACTTGGTGGTGTAGGGCCATAGAATAGGTATATATTAAATTGTACTGGGAATTGTGAAATTACTTTCCAAAATGGTTGCATAATTTTATTTTTTTCACTAACGATGTTGGAATTGCTCTACATCCTTAATGACATACTGTATTGATAATGTTTTTAATTTTGGATATTCTTATGTGTACTGGTATTTAGTTGTAGTTTTAGTTTAATTGCTAATGAGATTCAGCTCATTGTCATTTGTTTTTTGGCATCTTTTGTGTGTCTTCTCTTCTGGTTGCTTGTCGATTTTTTTTCTCTATTAAGTTGCTTTTTTTTTTTTTTACTGATTTGTGTGAACTGTTTATGTACTCTGGATATGGTTTCAGATATTTTCTTCTACTCTATAGCTTGCCTTTTCCTCTTCATTTTTTGAAAAATAGACATTTTTAGCTTTAATTGGTCTAGCTTATCAAGTTTTGCTTTATTCTAAGCATCCAGTTTAAGAACGTTTTTCCTACCTCAAAAGCATGGAGATATTTTTCTATGTTGTAAAAGTTCTTATGGCTTTGCCTTTCTCTTTACATCTCGGCCATCTATCATCTTCTCTTGCGGGGACCAGCCAGTCCACCTTGCCTTTTTCCCCAGTATTCTTCATTGCTTCCTTTGTTACAGATCAAGCGCCATTTCAGGCATGTATATGTTTAGAATCTGTTTTATGTCAGTCACTTTGACTGTTCTGGCCTTAACACCAATCTATCTTAATTTCTGTAGTTATAGACTGAGTCTTGATATCTGAAAAACAAGTCTTCCTATCTGATTTCTTAAAAAAAAATTTTATTATAGATATTCATAGCTTCCTTATCAAAATATGGAGGTTAACTTCTATTTCCAATCTGTTGAGATTTTATTTTTTAAAAAATCATAAGCAGATACAGAATTTTATCAT